ATCTGTTCCATATTTATATATTTTGAAACAAGGTCATGAACAATTTTTCTAAAATTGAAGTACTTCATGTAATTTTTGTTGCGTCAAAATACCGGCGGGACAGTACGTGCTGTTTTAACACCACTAGTTATTTCTCAGGTCCGTCACCCGCTAACATTCTCTGCCAAATTCAAACCTAACATTCTCAACCAAATTCACTATCAAGTTCTCCGGTGAATGAGCAAGTGGAAATTTCCTGCGTGAAAAGCTTTTGATTCGTCAACAATCTTGACTTTCTGGTATCGTAACCCAGATCCTTCCAGAACCTTCAGTCACTTCTGAGCTGGGATTCGATGCTCTATCCCCTCTCTCATGGGTGGTCTCTACATTAAGTCGCGTGGGAGGCTCGTCGCAATTTGCTTGGGGTCTTCGAGGGTCGCCTTGTATCGCACGTGTGTGTGTTTTTAAACTTTCCCCCGCTAGTAGCCCTGACGAGGCGGTCGAAGAGTTGCTGTGAATGGCATACATGCGCCGCAACTCTTTGACTTTTGCGGCAGAGAAGGCGGAAGTGCTTAATAACTAACTTACTACTAACTTTACCTATGGATGAAGTCAGCGCTTTGGCTGGCAACATAAGATTTACATTGATGCTGTTTGTTAATTCCTGTTACGTTTTCTTACGTTTTCTTGATTTGTTTTTTTTCTTTCACTCATACATTCATACTAAGGTCCATTTACTCTTATTTACATAGTTGACATATGCACTATATACATATGAACAGTGCACCATGCAATGCAACACGGCGCCGAAGGGAAGAGCAATAATTGGCCTTCCCTCCGCAGATCACAATTATTGTCCTCTGGGGCCAGCATTATTTTCGGCGCGCCTCGCATGCCGTTTAGGCAATTGGCGTGTCTGTCGGGGAGAGGGGGGCTCTGCGTTGGTAGGCACTTGATAATGGCAAGACGGGGTACAGGCAATACGGGGATAATGGAAAGACGGGGAGAGCGCTGCCTCCGCCGAGGCGGAACTAACCCGAGGGACGGGGCCGACGCGACGTCCCCGTGGCCGCAGCGAACGCAGGACGTGGACGCATGCGGCCGCCTGCGTTCGCCTGGAGCCTCTTGCCTCTCTCGGGGTCCTTGCAAACTTCAGCGTTCCATAATGCTACTTGATCCCATCAGGATTCGAGCCAGGACTTCTGTTAATAAGACACGACTAACCGAGTTATGGAATCAAACATTGCGTAGCGAAGAGCGATCGTATACAATGACGCAATTATGAAGGGTGAATTTGATTCATTATTGATTCCGGGCGCGTCAACTCGTAAGGTTATTAGACCCGTAGGAGTTGTGGATCTTTAATGGTGGGAAGTGGCTGTGATCTTGTACTCGCTGCACAGCGAGATCCGGCGCCGACCTATGTCGGCTTGGGGAAATTTTCTCTATCCAGGTATCTCCCACGAGCGTGGCGTCCCCGGAATCGGGACAAAAGTTCACATTCTTAAAATTAATGCAAATTAGAAGTGGTGCTAATAAGGCACATACTTTCTCTCATTACTTTTAAATTTGTAATTTGAAAAAATTTAAGAGTTCAATGAAAATGAGATCAAGGTCATTCTTTTAAGCGTCCCTTCTTCTAACCATGGGAAAAAAATTGGAGCGGTTTGTGACATTATTTTCAACACAAATTAGGTAAAAACTTGTCGTCTTTTCAACAAATTGTGCATCATGCTTTTTAAAGAGCCGATTTTTCGGAACAGACTTTGTCTAGGGCAAAAATCTCTCTTCAGTTTTCCAGTTGTATAACGTTAACTTTTTGTAATTTTTGAAAATACAAAGTTCGACGAAAATTGAACTAGCACCATCATTTTTAATATCCATTGATACACACGAGGAAAAAATAAAAATAAAAAATACTTAGTGCCGTTTAAAAGTTTAAAAATGAAAAAAGCCTATATTTTGCGCAAAATTACGCGAAAATCACTTATACTTTCGAGAAATTGCACATGACCTTATTTCAAGACTTGTTTTTAAGGAACAGATTTCATTAAGTTTACAATATTTTAGGCGTCTTCCTAAAGATACGAAGTAAGTTATTAAAAATTCCCTTAATGAAATCTGATAATCAAAAACAGATCTTGAAATAAGAGCTATTTAAAAGTTAAACATTTAAAAAATTAAAGGTGCTTAAGAGTTTAGTTTTCTATTTGAAGACTTTGGGACAACAACATGCTATGCCACATTTCTGATGATATTTGTGTATTTCGTCCCCTCATAGATGTAACCAGAAGTTAGGTTTTTATTTTAAAGATTCGCTGCAACATGGCAGTGTAATCCATAAATTAATATTCTTTATTCCAATGTGTTGAATGCAATGTCTAACTCTTTACTTTCCATTTTCTCAAAACTTATTTAGTGTGGCATGGCATGTTATTGTCCCAAGGTCTTTATTTAAAGGTAATCGTTCCGTGCACAGGAGTATTCCGACATCAGTTACGGACAGGAAGTTCGAAAACCATCCTGGAACAAAGATCAACAGAGTGAATAAACACGATTTTTGTTTGTTTATTAAATATTTTTATTTTAACGATTAAATGTTTCTATTCTAATTCTTGGAAACACTCCGCTTTTATCTCATTTTCAGAAAGTTATTCTGTGCCAGAAATCTTGAAAACAACTAATGGAACGCTATCATAAGTAAATAGCAGCAACTCCTAGATACAATCAATGAATATATTTAAGATTTGTAAAACGATAGGACATACTAATTAATGCCAGTATATAGTTCACTAGTACAATTGATACCAAGAAGTCAGTACCATACAATTTTTACAACTGAACAAAAGATGTAAACAAAGATGGGTGTAGAAATCGACCTTCTCCTCAACAAACCAAACATTGTGTAACAAAAGTTACTACCGTCGTAACACTGATCAATGTTTTATTCACTATTGAATTCATTAGCATCCGCACTCATAAACAAACATATTCCTTAACATTTACTAACTTTTCACAAACTTTTATGAGACCGTATTCACAGTTAACACGATTTTAACTAGCACGAAAGTTAACTTTCTTTTCGGTTTCGGTCTTGCGCGTCATCAAATATTCGGGGCCATTTTTTGATTATTTGAATTTACAAGAGAATGTTAGAGTCATCTTATTCCATTTTTTCCTGAACTTACATTACTTTACTGTATTTACAATACTTTTTGATTTAATTTACTTTTTACAAAACTTTTTAGCAATACTTTTATAAATAAAGGGTTTTACATTTGTGAATAGTGTATTTGACCAGATCGTTAAAAATATTTATTTTAAATGGGGCAAACATTTCGAAAGAAAAATTTTCCTTCGTAAATTTTTCTTACATTTTTGTTACTAGTTCCTGATCAGCCTGTGCGAACTGCAAGAAATTAAAATAGTTCGTGGTACTGATGGTTCGGCTAATAAACGCACGTAGAATAAGAAATAAAAATGAATGTTATTACGAAGTTGGATTTGAACCAATTCCGTCTGCCTTTCTTCTTTGTTTTAACGAAGGAGCCTCTGAATTCCAGGCCTGGCCCTAACATGTGTGAACTTTCGGCGCTTGGTCGCGCTGTGACTTTCGGCCCGAGGGGCAGACCCTTCTCACGCGGGGGCGGGGGTTGGGAGGGGACGGGGGGGGCCGGCGGCGCCGGCGGAAGCTGCCCCAGTGCGTCACCGCACCCCCCCCCAGGGGCAGGGGAAGTGTCCTTCATCCACAGTGGATGTCGTCTCAAGTCGCTGCTTTCCAGCCCTCGCCTCCCTTCACCAGCCAGAAGAGCACGATCGCAAGCAGGTAGGTGGAGTGGCGCAAATCGTAGCGCGTCTCATAGATAATGAGTCGAATCTCATTAAGAACGCGAAAGGATGTAGGTATTGAAATGGCTTAAAGGCCTTCGGCCTAGCCACATAGGATCAAGTAAGCTAACTTGTTTCTAATAATTACCTATAAAATAAAATAAAATAAAATAAATAATGAGTCGAATCTCCATTGCAGGTTTTTGCCATTTTTTAACTCACAAGGTAGTTGGAAATCACGCGTTTCCAGGGTCAACATAATTTTGCGTAAATCGCGTAGACGGATAGCGTGTCGCAGACTCCAACGAGGAAATGTGCCAATGATAGCGAGTCAACTTAGTCCTAAAAAATATTTTCGCCTATGCTTTCGATACTATGCGTTGCCTAAACTTAACATATTTTTAAGTAAATGCCGTAGGCCCAGGTCGAAGCCTGAGCTAGCGGTTGTTAATTGTGTCGTAAACATTCATGGAAAATTATGCGCGATTTCAGTTTATGGCCCAGACTCCAGTTTCTTTTATGTAAATTGCGTAGGTGGATTGACTGATTGATTAGTGATTCCGGTCGCGTCAATTGCTAAGGTCTTAGCACCGTAAGTGTAGTGCATATTTTAACGTGGGAGGATGTGTTGATCTTCCTCCACTGGATGGCGAAATCCGTGGATCTTACGTCCCCCGTCGGCTTACGGTGTTTTTCTCAACCAGGTATCTCCCATCAGCGGGGCACCACTCTAGCCCTAAGCTCTTGTCGGGTCGTGCGACATGTGCTGTAGAGTAGTGCATGTGAGTGTGTGTAAATAAGGGGTGAGGATAAAACAAGGAAGAGGAAGGAAAGATTGCGCGTGGTCCGTGGCCTGTTAGGTTACTGCTCCGGCATTCACCCGGTGTTTATCGGAGAAACCAGGGAAAACATCACAGCAGCCGGCCGCTGGAATTCTACTCCAGAGTACGGCTGAATTGGACCTAGGTATCTAGCAAGTGTCCAGACTAAAATCCTGTGACCTAGGACCTCGTAGTCAGAGGCACCTAAGCCCAGCCGCCAGCTAACAAATGCGCTAGCGATGAGCTATAGCGCTACGGAGCCCCTCGCGCCTGCCTTCGTGACGTCAGGAGTGGGAGGTTGTGGTGGGGGGCGAGCGTGGCTTCCCGGGCGGTCGGCGCGGCGCGGCGCGGCGCGGCGGGAGGACACACTCGATGGCGGGCTGTGAGCGCGCGACGGGTCGAGCGGCGCGGCGGTCGCCCCGGCCTGCGGCCGCGTCTGCGGCGCGGCTCTACTTGCTGCTGGCGCTGCTGGTGGGCGGGGCGACGGCGGCAGCGGGCGGCAGGCGGCGCGAGGACAAGACCAAGTGCCCGCAGGTCAAGGCCATCCACAACTTCGACGTGCACGAGGTGAGTGAGCCCCGCCTGCACTTGTCGCCCCTAGCGCCGTCGGCGGCTGGCCACTGCGCCCCGACGCGACGCGACGCGCTTCGTTCTGAAAACAGTTGACGGAAAAGACACGCCGGTCGGTGAGGGAGGATTTGCGGCACCACCTTCACCGAGGTCGCAACTGTTTTTTGGATTCGTAGCGAGCGCTTTGATTGAATGACACGAGTGGACGGAGGGGGCTGGGCAGAGACTGATCGTTGCGAAAGCTCCGCGGTATCACACGGACGAGGTCAACGCGGCATAGTAGTGCCTTCGGGCGTTATCGCGGACCAGGTCACGTCCAGCTCTTTGCGTCTCCGGACCAGGGATGCGACATTGGTGTGGATGGTTTGGAAACATTCATGTTTCTGTGAAAGCGTTGATGTTTTAAACAATTTAGGAAGGCTGGTGGGTTTTTAAACATTGACGTTATGTGCTTGATTTTTTTCCCGATGTTTTTTTGTTTAAGATTGAATGAATTGTGTAATCACGATTTAGTAAAAGTTAAAATACGCGGTTAGTTCTGGTTCCAACGAAGCGAACGCTGTGTATATTGTAGGGAGGTTACTGTAAGAAGGTTCCGCTTCAACAACTAATGCTTGGCTACTGCTGGTAGCGTAACTGCAGGTTATGTCCATGTGCTAAATAGTTAATGCGTTCCTTTGCAGTCGGCTCACTTGTAAATGAAGTAAATACATAATGGAAGTCATTTCCGTCAACTTAATATATTTATTTAGAGAGCCGGCTTTCGAGGGCTTTGCCATTATCACTTGCTCTGATAATTCACTTGTAAATGCTTTCGACACAACTTCTTGCAATGCTGTCGTCTAACGTGACTTTGTTTTGTTGTCTGTCTTGTCAAACTGGTCCATTCTTAGGCTAACTTCTCTATACCTTCCTCTAGCAAACTATCTCTCCCTCGAGAGTTGACTCCGATGTTTTGGTATTTCGAGCCCTTTTCCAATATTCCGATATGGAGAGCGGTCAACGCATACGCATATGCAGTCTCTCCCTTCTTCCCGCATGACGGCGACCCCTTCAGATGCCACTGATCCATATCGGTATTATTTTTTAGTTTGTTTTGTCAGTTAAATATTAATTATAAACTAACACTCACAGTCACTGTCAGTTTAAATTCTCCCTCGCCTGAACGTAAATTAGGTCACTAATTTATCTTTAATAACATCTGTTTAAAATCACGATATTTAAAAACATTTGAGGGGAGATTTATTAATAACATCGATGTTTTGAAACAGGATGTTTTGTTGCCGCATCCCTACACTGGACATGCAACGCTGTGGACTAACTCTCTCAATGAAAGTGATTATATTCAACGCTGTGTAATTGTAGGCTACTGCCCGGGAGAGGGGACTCCGCCGAGATAAGCATTCGCCGAACTTAGCTTTCGTGGTGGTGCCAGATGCTAGTGGCATACCGAAAGAGAAGTTATGAGAGAGCTGTCCAGTCATTTGGAAAGCCCTGCTAATGCCGGCGTTGTTCGAATCTGTGGCTGTGTTATTTTTATTTTTCTTCTTGCTTTGCTCCACTACTGAAGATTGTCGACCTCTTCCCAAAATTTTCTGCCTTGTTCCAGATAAAACACCTCTAGATGTACTCGAATTCCAGCCCATTTGCTGATATTAGGCAACCAGAACATCTTCCCGTTAACTCTGAATTTTCCTCATCATTATCAGTTGAAATTGTTCATATTTGGTGTTCCTACGTAAATGTCCAAGTTGTTGTGCTTTTTAGGTTTAATAATTTACGGTGTCTCATCGACGTGTAACATTCGGTTGAAGTATATACTCATTATCGACTCTCCGAGAATCTCCAAAGAATGATCATTCTCCTAATCGTCCACTTCTTGAATGCCTCTTTGTAGTTAGAATAGCCGTATTTGTTAATAGATGTTGTCAGTGACCACGTTTCTGCATCATTTTAGAGAACAGCTGTCACGTAACATTTTGCCATTCACCTTCTCAGCGTAATATTCAAGTCTCTGCTACACAAACAATTCCACATTTTATTGAATGTGGATCTTGCTATTTCAATTATCGTTCTTATTTCAGTATCTGATGTCCGTGATTCATGTACAGTTTCTCCCAAATATTTGAACTTCGATTCCTATCCAATAGGTTTATTTTTTACGAGCAGGTGAAATGGTCTTGTCTCTTTTAACTAGTTAATATTGTACTAATTAGTACGTAGGTAATATTGTACGTAAACTTTGTTTTACGTACATTTATTTCTAATTGATAATTTTTGCAAGCTCGATTTATTCAGTGCATTAGTTCTTGTAAATCAGCTACACTATCTACCAATATCTGTGTATCATCGGGGTAAAGATTATTATAAATAGCAGAAGCGGATCGAGAGACAAATTTTCGGAGGGGAAATTAAAAATGTGTTGGTCCAATGAGTCATATTGTATATTTTGTAAAATGTCGCAGACTACACTCAGCTCATGCTGCGATACGATTTTATTCATTTTAATGATTATCCGAAAATGTTTTTGCTTGAACGTTCTGTGACATGTTAAAATTAATAGTTACTGAAAAATTGTACGGGGGAAGGGGTTTCCATCATTTCCCATCCCGTGGATCCGCGCCTGTCAATAGGAACATCATTAAAGTTTACTCTCAGTTTACAATCTTCTAAGGCATCTTTGGCAACTGTTCAGAATACAAGTTAAAGGACAGGGAATGCACTATGCACTTCTGTCTGACTCCTTTTCTCACAGCCACTTCCTCAGGAAGGAACTCGCTCTTGAGCACTGTCTCCAATGTAAGTTATGATAAGTATATTTTTAGTCCGAATTAATACCTTGAAGACGATATGTAACTGTATCATGTTTCACTCTGTCAAATGCTTTTTTGAAATCTATGAAACAAGTACACTTCTTGCAAACATTTCTGCACTAGGACACGAGCAGCCAACAGCGTCCCAACTGCCTTTCGAAAAGGAAACTGCGCATTTCCTATTTCCATTTTCACATTTCTCCAAATGCCAGCATGTATGATGCGTAAAAATATCAAGAGTACGAGGCTCATAAAACGTATCGTCCGATTATCATTACAATTTCTTGCCATAATTGTCTCTAGAAATGTGACAACCATAGATTTGAGCTAATCGGTAGGTAGCCAGTCATATAGGTTAATAAATATATTTGTAATTTTAACAATGCTTTCAACTTTGAAACGTTTTAAAAGTTCTTCACTGATTGCATCCTAACCTACAGATTTTCCGTTTTTACTACCCATAATGGCTATCTGAATTTCTTTCTTTAGTCCAAGACCACATTTGCCTTCATTACTAATTGTTATTCCCAAAATCCTCGAAAATCTTAAGACAATGCTTTTACTGTCTGTATTAATAATTTCTTTAATTCTTTTACGCATGTTTAAATCGTCAGGCCCATTATTTCACCTGCCACTCTCCCTACATTGTGAAGCATACGCGGTTCGGATTTTAGATGTCCTGTTCTGAAAATCCTTGTTTTCCTGAAAATTACACTTATTCAACTTGCGACGCACAGTCATCATTGCAAGAATTTCATCGGTCATCCAATGTTTACGCTGATGTTGTTCTCGCATCTGGTTGTCTTTCGTTACTTCATTTAACTGTTTCTTAATTTCTACCCACTTTTACTTCATATGCTAGTCCCCTGTATCATAAGCATGTCTTCTTTGAGTTTGCAGGTTGAGTTGAGGTTGTCGGCCCCCGTAAGAGGAGTTCAACAATCTTAAATTCAATTTCCTGTTTACATTATGTGATCCAGGTCTTTTCAAGGTCACGCGTACATTCACCACAGCAGGATTATGATTTGCGTTAGCCTCCACTTGGAAATGTTTTAGCACTATTCGCTGCGTTTCTAAACTTTTATTAATCAATATAAAATCTGTTTGATTGCGTACAACCACTTTGATTTTGTGTTGAGATGACCAAGTATGAAGATCTATTATGTGGGGTAAACCGCGTATTTGTAATCAGAAGATCGGACAATGACCAAACTTAGGCGATCGCCTCTTAGACTGCCAGCTCCGGGGCCATTACCGCTCACAATATCGAGAACACTTCCTTGACCGAATTTAGTACTAAGATCTCCAAGTTGAAGTTGATATCGGATTTCTTAATTAATCATTCTTAATTTAGTAAATATCTACATAATATTTTCGATTTCACTGGATTTATCAGCATTAGGAGTATGGACAAGTATTATATATTGGATCCCCTTTCATTTGCATCATAATGCATTATGCATATTATATTCGAAAGGGGAAGAAATTTGCCTAACCCTTCGTTATTCCAACAACATTACCATTGCTGCCAGTGTAAAACATCACAACCTCGACATATATATTTACGTACGACTTTCCACCATGCTTTGAAAAAAACAAGTATAATCTTCAGTTTTTCCAATTCCAGAACTACATTATCTAGTTTTCCTGCTTAATACTGACTTCCAACATTCCACATACCCACATGCACCTACTCGTTCCGAATTTTATTCTGATAATTAATATTTCTTAGAACTATTCACAGGTGTTTCAATCCCATATGCGATGTTTTTATCAGAGGGAAAGGACCTCTCGCTAGGTATTCTCGTCGGCAATCTGTGAAGGTCTGGGAAATTAGTTCTCGCTAAAATCGCAGCGCAAGCAAATTCGTATTTCGCGGGTTGGGAATGCTCGCAGATGCTCGTATTGGGTGTGTAAAGCGATCCACAAGTAGATTAACACATTGCTAGCGAAAGAAGCAGCGAAATGATATGTAATAGATTTCAAGTGCCAAAATTTCTCACTGGTCAAGTTAGCATTATAATGTGTTTGTTATAATGCACACTAATGATTCCTACTAATAATATTCTTTCTCGAATAGCATGTTTTTCAGTCAAATCTTGCATAACAACTCTTTGCTGATTCCGTAAACAATTAACAACTTCAGTGATGCCTACCGCTTCCCTTCTCTACTGACTATCTGCA